GCATATCAAGTTTACAGCTGAAGGAAGTCACCACCCAACGCCCGCTGCCCACCGCCCACCGTCCAGAGCCCGACAGCGCCCATAAGTATGCAACAGCAGCTCGACAGCTGGCGCATTTGCGGCCACTTCCGCTGCAGCCAAACGCAGCTAAAGATTTAATTTTGGAGCTTAGCCCAGGCAACGACAATTGCTCGATAGCAGCAGCAGCATCAACAGCAGCAACAGCAACAGCAACAGCAACAGCAACAGCAACAGCAACAGCAGCAGCAGCAGCAGCAGCAGCATCATCAACATCAGTTATGCAAAGGTGCTAAAGGATATGCACGGCTCGCTGACATTAAAGTAGCTGCAGATAAAATGCCATTTTCAACTCTAGCTCCAGCTGCAGCTCCATCTCCAGCTGCAGCTCCAACTCCAACTCCAACTCCAGCTCCAGCTGCGCTTTCAGCCTTATTAGCACTTTCAGCCCATAAACCGGAAGCGGAAATGGTCAACAATAGCGCCATTATTGTTTGGCGCATGTTTGTTGTTCGTCTGCTGTTGATAGCATAACGACTCCAACTGGGTGTGTGTGTGTGTCTGTGTGTGTTTACATTTTCTATCTCTATTGTGTGTGCTGTGCTGCATATGCAAAATATGCTTGAGTTTTACTGACTTTGCAATGCTCGTTCGTGTGCAATTCTTTTGCATATGATTTTCTTTTGATTTAATTATTTGTATATTTATTAATTTTATTAAATATTAATTTTATTTTTACTTATTTTTTTTATTCAATTTTGTTTATTATTTTTTAGTTTTGTTTAATTTATTCAATTTATTTATTGTTTTTTTTTATGTCTTTTATTTATAATTATTATTTTTTATTTATTTAATTTTATTTATCTTAAATTATTTGTCTATTTGTTTATCTTTTATAAAATAATTTTATTTTTATTTATTCATTTATTTATTTTTATTTTTTATTTCTTATATATTTTTTATTTACGTATTTAATTATTAATAAACTTATTTTATATTTATGAATGTAACTGTTTATTTATTTAAGTATTTATTTTATAATCTTTTTGTTTATTTTTATTCTTTTTGTATTTATTTTTTAGCTCTTTCATTAGAAATTCAATTCCAAAAATGATCTATTAAAATATATAAATATATTGTCCATGTCAACTCCCTCAAGTCTAGTCAACTCAACGTCTCATTAGCCACAAAATGCATTCACATTGCAGAAATGAAACCAATATACTCTCATTTCACTTCACCCTTACCCGTATTTATATATATATAAAGTAAAAAACCAAGTAGAAATAGAAAAACTCACCCGTTTGTCGTTTTTGTACCACGTTAACGTTGCCAACGGATTGCCGCCCGATGAGACACAGAGGAGTTTTTGCACCGACCCGGCTGGTATAATTTGTCCTTCCATATAGCCCGAAATTAATGGCGGAGAGGGCGGATCTGCAAGGAAGAGCAAAAAAAATTAAATAGATAGAGAGGCGAAAAAACGTCAGCATAGCGAAAAGGACAAAGAAAAACAACAAATGTTGGCCAACACACATACACACACAGCGAGAAAAACGAAACTTGGCCAGCAAATTATGGCCTACTAAAAGAGGAATCCGTAGCCAAGGACCAACCGCTGAGCAGGGCAGGGGCGGAAGGGCCCAAACAATAAAAATTAAAATTATTTAATTTGCCGCGCATAAAGTACAAGCATCTCGAGGGCCCAGAGCATATATAGTAGAAATATATATATAATATATATTCACATAAGGCACAAAACGGCCTTGAATTTGCCTAAAATCCCAAACAGCTGGCGGGCCAGAGAAAGGGGAGCAATTCTATGCCCCCAGCGCTGGCAGCTGCAGCCTGTCAGCGAGAGATAAAGAGAGGCAAAGGGGGAGACAGAGAGAGAGAGAGAGAGTGGCCCCAGCCCTGGGGTATGGGTAATAAATGTAAATCTCACAGTCGGGTTGCGACTCCGCCCCCGCTGTTTGTGAATGCTGGTCAGAAAAATTAATTAGCGCTGCAGGAGTGCTGCACATAAAGGACGCGTGGACAACAACAACAACAACAACAACAATAACAACAACATAAGTCAGCCAGCAGCCCAGCAGGGCCTTCAAGTGGTCGCTGGCTTTGTTTACCAGTTGCTGCCGCTGGCCAGCCAAGCTGGCTAAGTCAAATACTGAAACTAGAAATTGGCCAGAGAATGGCGCAATTATTAATAAGCCTTGTGTAGTGGGCCTTGTAACCAAAACTTGGTTTGCCATCTTGTTAAGCAGAAGTGAGAACTGTCAGAGGTCTCTTTCTCCCTCTCTCCCTCTCTCTCTCTCTCTCTCTCTCCCTCTCTGTTTGACTTGTACTCGTGTTTTGCGCTTTTTCCTCACTCTGTCCGCTTATAATTGAGGCAAATGAAGAGTGACGTCGAACATGGCATAATGGAGTTTAAGACACCTCCGTCTGTAGCGTGGCAAATAGAGATGAGCATGAGGCAGCAGCAACAACAGCAACAGCAGCAACTAGTTTAGTTAACAAATTGACAGGCGTTGACGCTCTGCTGCCAACTGATTGGAACTCAAACTCTGAGTGATGCTAATGACAGCTCGCTCCAATGCTGCCAAACAACCTGCAGAGCAAGTTTATCCCTTTAGAAAGTAGGGAGGAAATGGGATCGATTGTGAGCGTAAGACAGATAAAAATCATTTTGCCTATGAATTCCTAATTCAAATAATTATGCCGGCAATAAAATATTCAGTAAACAAGAAGCTGAATATTGTGAAATGAGCTGAAGCCAGTAGACCTATTATCAGATTAAGTAAAACTCTTTGACAGCTTTGAGCTTTTTGAGTGGCAGGCCAAAGCAAGCTAGCTGGATGTGTTACTCATAACGGAATATTTTACTATGAGGCATATTTATTGATTCTACGGAATTGCTCTCTCTACTCTATTGTCTGTCTTACTGTCTTAGCTTACCTCTATTTCTGCCCGTCTTACACTCTCTATTGTGCTCTTTAATGAAGTTATCTATCAATCATTATATTTTTGTATTCTTTCTACTGAAAAACTTTCCTAAAGTCCTGCCTGTCCTTGACTACTTGGGCGCCTAACATCCTTGTCATCTTACATTCGTCCATATAAAGTACTCTATTCATACTTCATATTCTCCAATAGACAATGGAATCAATATTCCACATAACTCTCCATCTTTGCCTAACCAAACTTTAACATACATTAATCTTTTATAATCTACTAAAAAACTTTCTTCTAAATGCTAGGATTGAGTCTACTTAATATACCCCTCACTATAGATTCCCAATAGTTTACTTCAAATTTATTGAAATTGTGCTCTGAATAGTCTGATCTGGTTTTGGAATTTTGAATACGGCCAAAATATTATTAGTAATAATAATAATCATAAAAAAAAGATATAAAGGTCCTCATACGGATAATTTCGCAAATCGCTCATACGTCACTCTGAAATTTGCTTATTGATCTAACTGACATGTCTAAAAAACTAAACACGAATCGCATATTACTTGATCACTGGAAATTTGGTACATTTACATGAATTTAGAGCAAGCCGCAGCTTGTGAAGACAATGCTGCGGTTGAGCTTGCCGTTCTTGGTGCCGTAGCACTGGAGGCTATCGAGTATCTTGCTGCCCTGGATGATCTGGCCAAAGCCGATGCGACTGCCATTGGCAACGCTGAGGGGCTTGAACGACATGGAGAATGAGACATTTTTGGGAAATCCTTGTAGATATTCTTTGCTAAAGGAGAGGACATAGGCGGAGGCGCCATGATCAATGATCTTGCCGTCGTACTCCAGGGACTGGCTCAGGTCTGAGTTGCCATGCTCCAACAGATCCACATCCATCCAGAGATTGGGAAACAGTCGCTTGATGACGATCTTTTGGTGCATGTTGCAAATGCAGGCGCGCACCAACTGGAGCACTACGACGGGCGCCGCCTCCGTGTACAGCTGGACAACGATGCGACCCAGCGGACGTGAGCCCTTGAGAAAGATGTCCAAATAGATGGTGGGACGCAGCAGATTCCAGCGCTCCTTGTCCGTCTTGGGCATCGTAATGTTATAGCCCTTGTATTTGGCCAGGCCGGTCTGTGGCATATGAAACGGTGGTACGCGCGCCTTATGCCTCCTCTTGACCAGGCTGCTCTTCTTCTCGATGCCCGTGTCGAGTCCGCTTACCACGTCCTTGATCCGTTTACCAATATCGCGATTTTCCAAATCGAGGCGATCGAGTTGCTTCAGCGTGTACGGCAGCGAGGACATCGTGTAGACCCGGTCATAGCGGAAGGGAATGATGTCGCCGTGGGTGCGCATCGTCTTGGACAGCTCGACAAGCATCTGGATGTTCTTTCTGGTGCGCTCCATGAACTGCATTGCGATCTGGCGCAACGTGATCACTCCGGTCACCCGGATCGCCTGGAAGCCGGGCGGCCGCGTATCCAGTTCGCTCGTCATGCCCAGCACCCGTTCCCGATGCTCGCGCCAGGCGGCCATGTGGCCAGCGTTGTGCATCTTCACCTTGGGCTTCTTCTGCTTCTCCAGCAGAGTTTTCGACTTGGGCTTTGGCTTTGGCTTCGGCTTCGGCTTGGCCTCCGGCTTTGGAGCCGTTTCGGCCGTTTGCATCGCATTGAACTCTGCCGATCCCATCGAGGTGATCGACTGGCAGCCTGGAAACTTGTACAGAGACATCGATAGGCCGTTTGAATGCCAACGGGTTATTTCTTATCTTATCAATAACGGTAAAAGAATGTTACTATAAATTTGTTAGCTAAATAATTTTTTTTATTGTTATGTATCCCTCCCTATGACCCAATATGGTTAGCTTTTAAAACTCGACTGACATTAAAACAGACACAGGCTAAAACGACAAAAATTTGACATCTGATACGTGCTGCTAGGATTACCCTGTTCAATTTGTTTGAATACATGAAAATTTGGCTGGAACTACAACTGGAACTCTGTCTGGGAACTGTCTGGACATCTGTGGAATCTGGGAGTCTGATGGGGCGGCTCAGAGTACGCCGCAGTCGGTGAAGCTGAGGGCACGGCTGAGCGTGCCATTCTTGTTGCCATAGCTCTGCAGGCACTCGAAGATCTTGCTGCCCTTGACGACACGGCCGAAGCCCACCCTGGAGCCGTTCACCACATGCAGCGGCTTGAACGAAATGGAGAAGGGAATGCTGTCGCCGAAGCCGGCCAGATGGCTCTTGCTGAACGAGAGCACATAGCCGCCGGAGCCATGATCGATGATCTTGCCATCGTACTCCAGGGGGCTGTTCAGGGCGCTGTTGTTCTCGGTGGGCAGCTCGACGTCCAGCCAGAGGTTGGGAAAGAGGCGCTTGATCTGAAACTTGCTGTGCATGTTGCACATGCAGGCGCGCACCAGCTGGAGCACCACCACGGGCGCCGCCTCCGTGTAGAGCTGGACAACGATGCGGCCCAGTGGACGGGCGTCCTTTAGATACATGTCGAAGTAGATGCGCGGACGGAAGAGCTGCCAGCGCTCCTTGTCCGTGGAGGGCAGCTTGATGTTGTACGGCTTGTACTTGGCCATCGCGCGATCGGGCATGACAAAGGGCTTCGAGTCCCGCTTTTTGACGGCCCCATCAGCCTTGAGGCCCGAGTCGATCTCACTGCCGATGCTCAGCAGACGCTTGCCCATTTCGTAGTTGTCCTGCTCCAGCTGCTCCAGATCGCTGATCGTCGCCGGCACCGCGGACATCACGTAGGGCGCATCGAGCCGAAACGGATGGATGGCGCCGTGGGTGCGCATCGTCTGGGAGATGTTGAGCAGCATGTGAATGTTCTCCTTGGTGCGTCTCATGAACTGTTCCGCCTCCTCGCGCAGCGCATTCACACGCGTCTGGCGCACCGCCTGAGTGGCTGGCGGGGATTGATCAATTTCGCTGACGATGTTCATCAGGCGTTCCCGATGCTCGCGCCACATGGCGTAGCGCGCCAGCTCCTGCACGCCCATTGGCCTGCTGGGCGTGTCTTTTCTCAACTTCTTCTTCTTCTTGTAGCCGACGGATTTGCTCTGCTGCACATCCGGGCCGTTCTCGGCTGGCTCCTCGAGCGAAAACTCTGACAGGCATTTCGGCAGACGAGAAACCATCTTCAACCGATGAGCGCAACAAAATTCAACAAATTTAACTGAAACCGAATACCCCAACCTTAACGTAAGCGTGTCAATAACAAATTGAGCCGAGTTGAGGGAAAAGGCGTGACATGCGCTGAACGAACGACAGTTAAAGCGAAGTGGCTCACAAATTGATGTAGGGTATATCGACAGTCGACTACAGCTTAATACTCACACAGAACATTAATCGTATGCGTGGAGACCACATTCTCGGTGAGCTGCATATTGAGGCCGTGGCAGATGACCACCAGGGAGCGCTTGTTGGGCTCCACAATGGTGGTGATGTTCGAGCTGGTGGTCCAGCCGCCTGCAATGAATGGCAATCGTTAGATAATTAGCTTCTCTCTCTCGCTCTCTCTCTCTCTCTCTCTCTCTCTCTCTCTCTCTCTCTCTCTCTCTCTCTCTCT